ATATAGTCACTGCCAAGACACACATTTTATTTCTTGTTGGAACACAAATGAGATGTAAATTACTCTTAATAGTTTAGAGATGTTATAAAAATCATGCTGAAATATCCCAAAAGGGAGAGAAAATATGGATTTAATTTCAAGACCTAGAAGCTTTCATTATAGCTTATTTTTTTAGACAAACAAAAATAGCAAGTAGCAGCATATACTACCAAACAGTCCACATTATAATATACAGTTTAATGTCCTCTCTGTTGTGACTCATCATCCTTAAAATATACCATTCTCTTGGCATATTCTAGTTTATAAAAATTGAATGCCAGTTAATCATTTTAATTTGCTGCTCAATTTTAAATGGCTCTCAAAATCACAAGCAATTTCTCTTTTCTTTTATACAGTAACAGGAAAGACTGTCACAATTTTTACTGCTTTAGGGGGTAGCAGAGTTAGTCTGTACAGGATAAAATTAAAAAACAACAAATAGTCTGGTAGCACTTTAAAGACTAACAAAACATGTAGATGGTATCATGCGCTTTCGTTGGCTTCTTCATCTGAAAAAGTGGGCTGTGCCCATGAAAGTGCATGATACTGTGTTAGTCTTTAAAGCGATACCAGATTATTTGTTGTTTTTTAAGTTTTAAAAGTTTTACTATTTTACTTTTCAGACTTCTCTGTTAGGCCTCATTGTTGAGATCATGGAAAATATTTCAGAAGTGCTTCAATGGCAAACAGAGTCTATTATAGAACAGATTTAGGAGATGCCTATGCTGCAATGAAATACCCACAGCTGACCTAAGATTGCTGGCTTGGGCTAAAGGACTGGAAAACTATGGTACAGACATTAGGGCTTGAGCTGGATCCCAAGTTCTGGGATCCACCCTGCACTCCCTGTAGGGTCCCAGTCTGGAGTTTGGACTCCAGCACAAACAGGTGTTTAACTGCAGTATTTGCGTACCTTTAGTCACTAAGTAATAATGACAAACTTCTAAATTACTTGAGCGTTTTTGAAAATTTTACCCCATATTTTTAATCAAGTTTGTAATGGTATTTTAATTAAATTGCACAGTTACATGATTAATCAAAAAGGGATACAGCTCCACAGAAAGAAAAGAACTGAAAGTGGAATAAAAAGAGGAGGGGAAAAAAAGGGGAAGGGTGATTCATGGGGTATTCAGTATGGATCAGCAAGTTGTACGGAAGTGTGGCAGAAGTTTATAATGTATAAAAATGGCTTATTTATATGAAGCAGCTGTTACTGTTGTGTAAGGATATGACCACAGAGGTAAAAAACAGGTTATTCTGCTTGCTGGAAGATGATGGGGAGGCTGCAGAGCAGAACAGGCAGCAGCTTTGTTTTTTGTGCTGTTAAAGTTATGTAGTATATGAATAAAACAATTTAGCTGTTAAAAACAGGTTCCCTTTGGGTTACTGAGAGAAACACCATGTTACCAGTCATTCATGTCACAGAATACACAGCATAGCCTCATCCAAAGTGCAGGTGGGTAAGGGAAAGCTGACTGAGTTTGTCCAGTTTGGCAGCTGACATAGTTTAGAAGAGCCCTTGGGCTGGAGCTGTGCTCCCTAGTACACCTACAAAGTCTGGTGAACAACAGGACAAAAAATTCCCTACAGATATTGGAACTCTTCTTCAGGATGCTAAACTCTTCTGCTAAAATGCTCTTAAATTACATCACAGTTTAGGTTCCTCCAATGTGCTGTATAAAGAGCCTAGTGCAGCTCTAACAGAAGTTAGCAGGAATTTCCATTGTGTCACTTGACATCTTATAGGACTCTTGCTCCTCTTAAAAAAAAAAGAAAAAAAGAAAAAGCGGCATCCTTAGAAATGTTTGAAATTGAACCTTCTGAATCTCCTTCAGGGACAGATGGCCTCAAGCATTATTTTCTAGTTATGCTGCTCTAAGAAAGGCAGTTAGGTGCCATCAATTTGCACACACTGAAGACTGACAAATAAAGGGAAACATACTGTTTCTCCTTGTGCCATGATAATTGCTTTACTTTGTGTTAAAATTACTTTATTAAAAGGTGGAACATTAAGCTTTATATGCTGTAAAATGTACTAATAATAGCAGAAAATGATGAACTTGGTGATCTTAAAGGTTAGTATACTTTCAAAAGTGAAATATAATCTTTGCTGGCTGCTTTTTAAAAATAGTATTAAGACTTTGAGCAGATGCAAGACAAGTTCCTAGTTATGATTCAAATTATAATACAAAACAATGGCAATTAGAGTAAGATCTGATATAGGATATCCATGAATTCTAATCACCTGTATTACTAGAACTAAGATAAAAAATTATAAATATTTTTACAATACAGCAAAATGTCTATATATCTGAACTCCCTATGAAGTTTTTGTATTTCATATTCTAGAAAATGTAGGCTTAAGCATAATTTAAGCACAGCTAGTTCATAGTTTTGTCCTGAACAAATCTTACATATAAAACATCCCATTAAAAACACTATCAGCTGTTAGTACCACTTGCAAACAATTGCACATTCAAATATGTACCTGAACAGTCCCATTGACTTCCTTAGAAATTGTCTTCAATCAGACAATCCAGGTGCATAAAGTTCAGCATGCACATAAATGTGGACTGGATTGAAGCGTTAGTTTGGTTTTCTAGCAGGAGCTACTTTTAGGAGGATGTTTTATTCTGCTGTCATAGCTTGAACAGGAGATCACAGAATCATAGAATACTAGGACTGGAAGGGACCTCGAGAGGTCATCAAGTCAACTCCCCTGCCCTCATGGCAGGACCAAATACTATCTAGGCCATCCCTGACAGACATTTATCTAACCTACTCTTAAATATCTCCAGAGATGGAAATTCCACATCCTCCCTGGGCAATTTATTCCAGTGTTTGACTACCCTGACAGTTAGGAACTTTTTCCTAATGTCCAACCTAAACCTCCCTTGCTGCAGTTTAAGCCCATTGCTTCTTGTCCCCAGAGGCCAAGATGAACAAATGTACTTTCTCCTCCTTATGACACCCTTTTAGATAGCAGTTTTCAGGTATCTTGTCCCCCCTCAATCTTCTCTTTTCTAAACTAAACAAACCCAATTCTTTCAGCCTTCCTTCATAGGTCATGTTCTCTAGACCTTTAAAAATTCTTGTTGCTCTTCTCTGGACCCTCTCCAATTTCTCCACATCTTTCTTGAAATGCGGTGCCCAGAACTGGACAAAATACTCCAATTGAGGCCTAACCAGCACAGAGTAGAGCAGAAGAATGACTTCTTGTGTCTTGCTCACAACCCACCTGTTAATGCATCCCAGAATCATGTTTGCTTTTTTAGCAACAGCATCACACTGCTGACTCCTATTCAGCTTGTGGTCCACTATAACCCATAGATCCCTTTCTGCTGTACTCCTTACTAGACTGTCACTTCTCCTCATTAGCTCACAGACATTTACCTTCTTCCCCTCCCCATCTCCCTTCTGTTCTGAAATTTGATTTGTCATTTTCATACGTGTTCATTTTTTTAATTGTATCCTTTGGTATATATGGTTGTGACAATTTTCTTCCACTATTTGATCTGAGGAAGTGGGTCTGACCCACGAAAGCTCATCACCTAATAAACCATCCTGTTAGTCTTTAAAGTGCTACATAGTCCTGTTTTTTGTTTCAACTTCCCATTCCGTATGTGTGAAACTCATTGTTCCTTCCCAAGTGGAGCACTTTGCATTTGTCTTTATTAAACTTCATCCTGTTTACCTCAGATGTTTCTCCAATTTGTCCAGATCATTTTGAATTATGACTGTATCCTCCAGAACAGTTGCAACCCCTCCCAGCTTGGTATCATCTGCAAACTTAATAAGTGTACTTTTTATGCCAAGATCTAAATTGTTGATGAAGATATTTAACAGAGCCGGTCCCAAAACAGACCCCACTTGTTATGACTTTCCTGCAGGATTGTGAACCATTAGTAACTACTCTGAGTACGGTTATCCAGCCAGTTATGCACCCACCTTATAATACCCCCTTCTAAGTTGTATTTGCCTAGTTTATTGATAAGAATATCATGCAAGGCTGTATCAAATGCCTTACTAAAGTCTAGGTCTACCACATCCACTGCTTCTCCCTTATCCACAAGACTCCTTACGATGGTTCAAGTCTCATTTAAGCTAGAATGGTGGAGGGATTGACAGAGCAACCAAGACAAAATTATTTGTAGTACAAGTCTGCCTGTAGTCTTCATCTGACAAGGTGCAGCATCCCACCATTGTGAAGTCTATTGCCCAGGTAATTAATGTTGATTGAAAGTTATCTGAATGTGGGTCACAGGTGAAATGCTTAGACTGGAAAGCTCTAGCGAGCTTGCAGGTGTTGCTGACCTAACAGTCAGCATTTTTAAAAATCAGGACAGAATCCCTACCTGACTCTAGTGCTCCAGGGACCATGTTGCTGGATATACCATCATTTTGCATGAGAAGCAACAATGTAAATTGCTAAAAGCAGCTTAAATTCTCTTGGGACTCTGTGTAAGACAAGCAGTGTTAGTGCAAGTGTTAAATTCTAATTCTGGTAAGTCAGTCCCTGCTACAGTTTCCTTTCCTTCACAGAGGATTTCCCTGAGTTTGTCACTTCCTGCTGGCCCAAGTGCTCAAAAATGGAGAGTCAAAGCTCAATTCTTAAATGAGCTTTAAATGGTTTTTAAAGAGCTTTTAAAGCTTGCTTTCTGGCTCATGGACCCCCTCTCTCCCCCTGGCTACGTTTCTTTTTGTTTTGACGATGTGAGGTTCTCAGCTTTCATCCCAGGCCTTGAGAGAGCTTTAAGAAAAGCAAAGCTAGGGGATTTGCGGTTGACATTGTGTGACCTGGAAACACTACTTCTGTCTCCCATGCTTAGTAGTACCCAGAGCGGTGCTGTGCACGCCGAAGCCTGCAGACAATTACGTCAACGTCTTATTGGGCAGATGCCCGGTCCTTTAGAAGCGAATGGGGCTGGTTTGGGGAGGGAAAGCTCTGCACATGCGTAAGTGTTCCCAGAGTTGAGGTCCCTAGAGCCCCTCGCTCAGCTCTTCTCGTTAGTATTGGCTCTGCCGGAGGCTGCACGTGGGGGTGCTCTGGCATCCCCTGGCTCGAAGCGGGTCTCTCACACCAGTTCGGTTCAGGGGCGCTCACCCCTCATACACATTGTCCCAGCGCCCCCGCAGCCCCGTTAGCGCGAAGAGGGGCGCCACGGCCCCGCTGGTGGCTGCTGCGTGGCCTGGTTAGACCGACGCGTTCCACTCGCTCGCACGCGGCCGGGGGGCAAGAAAGGGAAACGGGCCGCAGAGCGGCTGGGCCGGCTCAAAGGCGCGGACGAGGAAGGAGCACGCAGCCGCCTCCTGCCCCTTGTAGGGAGGCAGCCGCGGGAGGAGGAGCCGCGCGACGCAGCCTCCCAGCCCAGGCGGGGGAGCAGTAGTGAGGCCAGAGCAGAAAATGGTCGTTCGGGGCTTGTGGCGAGGGCGAAGCTGCTAGGAAGAGCCGAGCCACAGCCCCGCGCACTGGGGGCGGGGGAGCTCGGCGCGCCGCCTGGTGAGCTCCCGGGGCTGCAGCTCTTCAGCCGGCCGCAGTGACTCGTGCATGACCCGCAGCGGCAGCAGCAGCAGCACGGAGCTGAGCGCCCGCCCCGGCACCATGCAGCAGCACTGAGGAGGCGCAGCCCGGCTGGCGCTGCTGTGTGTGGCTTCGCTTCCTCCGCGCCTGGGCCGTGCCGGCCGAGGGATCCCGCGGGAAGATGGAGCGGTTCCCCCACGGTGAGTGGAGCCCGGGCACTGGCCGCGCCCCGCTGCAAGCGGTCGCTTCGCTGGAGCTTTGCTGCTGGCGGCAGCTGCCCTGGCCCCGGAGCGGCCCTGCCGGAGGGGGCCCCTGACTCCGTGCCTCTGCGCAGGGCACGCTCAAGGGCAGGGGGGAAAAGCACCCACTCAGTGGCGGGGGCGGCAGGGAGCTATCCCTAGCCTGCGCCACTGAGGACTTACTGGAGAAAGTTTGACCAGGAGGACGAGGTACCAGCTGTCGTCGGTGCGATGGAAGAGCTTACCTCGCCCACCTGCCTCTCTAATATCCAGGGCCCGGCCAAGGCTGCAACACTGTAAGGAGGAAAGTTTTTAGCTGGTAGGGATTGCCTTGGGGTCTCGAGGAAGGCAGCCTGGTCACGGTTTCCCTGACCATCTCCTGTCCTGAGACACAACCCGGCGTGGCTCGGTGCCGACAGTGAGCCTGGCGTCTTCAGCATGCTGCGAACAGCTCACTGAACATGTGAAACTCTCCCAGTTTCCCCCCCCATTTTAATTACAAGAGAACATGAGAGCCAGAGTCTTTGCATCTGTGGAGTTCATGTGCTCTTGTTTATTTCCCATGCTCCGTCATAATCCTCTGTTGGGAGCTAACATAATCGCATCTGAGCTTCCCTGACGTACATGCAAATAATGCTCTTGCTCAGCTTCGTTAATAATAAGGGCCATGTTAGTACTTGTACAGACAGAGGAGAATGGGCAACTAAGGACCGAGCTCCTATGTTTATTTAAATGTCTTTGGTGATTGAGCCCATGTCAACAGTCCATCAAAAATGACAGGAGTGAGAAACGGGAAAACAAGGGCAGATATTTATTTTCCTCCCCTCCCCCTAACAGAGTGTGTTTCAAAACTGTTTCCATGCAATTTCAGCAGTACTTGAAATTACACTGTGCATTTCCTTTGTGCCTTTCAGATGAGACTCTGAAAGCATATTTAGTAACGGTAGCTGAGCCTCATCTCTGTGTATATAAATACATAAGTGTTACTGTGCATCTGAAATGCAGTAGCTGTGTAACAGCAACACTTCCCCACGACTAAGGGCAGAACAGGAAGTGAAGTTGCCCAATCCATTTGAAGCTGCAGGAATTAGATGTTAGGGTCTAAAACAGGCTTTGGACTAGACAATGGGCATAATATACTCCATATTAAAATACTGTAAGCTTGGAAGGACAAATGGTCAGAGTCTTTACATTATGCATGTAAAGGAATTAAAAGTGAAAGCTGAAATTCAGCTGGAATTCACTGCCTTGTACTTGAGAGATCACTGAGAAATCCAAACCATAGTGTAGAGTCTGTTACAAAATTCGGATAAATGTTGTTATAGTGAAAAATGGAGCTTTGTAGTCAATGAGATGTTTTCTGTTTACCAAAAGACGTTTTGTTATCCCTGTATTGCCCTGTTTTCTCTTAACAGTCTCATGTTTTCATGCCCAGATTAGTGAGAGGTGACTGTTACTTAGTAAATATTTTTGTCCTGTTGACTCTCTTAAGATGATCCTTAAAGTTATGTTAAGAAGCACTATATTTTATCACTCCATAAATTAAAACTTTGTTCAGCATAAGCGTTTCCCCAGGATTCAGCAAGAAGGTAAATACAAAGTAGGCAAGTACTTAATAGATTCCTAAAACTTACTATTATCAGTAAGTTTCTAGTATGTGCTCTTTTTCTACTTCTGGGGTTGGGATGAGTGGGGAGAGAGTACATCTCTATGAGCAATAAAATAATTTGTGGGAGGTGGGTTTTTTTTTTTTTAAATAAAGGAAATGGCTTCTGATGTAGGAGTACATGCTCCCATGTTGGAGAATGTGCCACCATGTGAACAACCTCTCTGGAAAAGCTTTTTGGATCTGGATTACTAGTATTACTCTGTCATGGAGAACAGTGGTGGTTGAATTCTACTTGTTTCTTACCCAGGCTGCAGCAGAAAGGTGTGAGAATGCCTAGGCCGGGAGAATGCTACTCATAGCGGTCTCTGCTGCTAATGGAGGAGTTGTCTTGGAGGGTCTGGGGATGAATCTGCTCTTTCTCTCTGGAAAGCTAAAACACATCCCTTTGGGTGTGGGGTGGTGCTGGGGGCGTTCAGAGCTATCGTACAGGTTAAAGACAAGCTGAAGTTTCCTCTCATGAAAAGAAGCTACAGGGAATTTCCATGATATTCAGAGTATGGGACATTGATCTTTTGCATTGATCTTGAGACATGTTATTGTGTGCTCTTGTATCTGCTTTTAAAACCTGAATAACTGGGAATAATCACACTGCTGGCTTTGTGAACAGCGAGTTATTTTGTAGGGCTGATACTCTTGCACCTTACATGATCAATGAATCACTTTAATATATACATATTAAAAAAAAATTTGGATTGCTTTACTCTTGTTCCATTTAAATTGACAAAGAACTGACCAAGCTCTGAGAACTGTGGGTTCTAATCTACATGTTAACTGCAATGAGAGTTTTATATAAAGTGTAGGGTATTGCGTGACAGTTTGATGTCAAGGATCATTTCCTCTTTTTGACAAGTCGGACCACATAAGCCTTCAGACACACATCTGATTTGGGCAGTGGAAACTTGCATCATTACAGTTACAGGGGTGAAAAATCCACTCCTGAGAGACTTACCTATGCTGACCCCACCACAGTATTGGCAGCTCTAGGTTGATACTGGAATTTTTCCATTAACCTAGCTACCTCCTCCTAAGTAGGAGTGCCTGAACTGATGTACTGTGGCACAGCTGCAATGCTGAGTTTGTACTCTAGCAGTGTGGACAAGCCCAAAGGTACAGTTCAAGTCAGCATTTCTTTTGTGATGTGTAACCGTTATTAAAATATTAGAAAAACACAGGGTCTTGCCTCTAAAAGTGCAGGATCAGGGCTATCATTCAATAACTTCAGTCTGTGTTTTACTCTACTTCGCTGAGTTGTCACTTGAATTCCCATGTCTTAAGTGTGTATATCAATACAGGCAGTCCCCTAGTTACGCGGATCCGACTTACGTCAGATCCGCAGTTACGAACGGTGTTTGCTCCGCGTCTCCCGGGTCTGCTGGAGACCAGCAGACCAGGGAGACGGGGAGCAAAGCCTCTGAGGACGCCGGCAGCGGGACAGCCGCGGTGCGTCTGGGCTGTCCCACTGCCCGTGTGCTCCGTGGCTTTGCTCCGCGTCTCCCTGGTCTGCTGGAGACCAGCAGACCAGGGAGACGGGGAGCAAAGCCTCTGAGGACGCCGGCAGCGGGACAGCCGCGGTGCGTCTGGGCTGTCCCACTGCCCGTGTGCTCCGTGGCTTTGCTCCGCGTCTCCCTGGTCTGCTGGAGACCAGCAGACCAGGGAGACGGGGAGCAAAGCCTCTGAGGACGCCGGCAGCGGGACAGCCGCGGTGCGTCTGGGCTGTCCCACTGCCCGTGTGCTCCGTGGCTTTGCTCCGCGTCTCCCTGGTCTGCTGGAGACCAGCAGACCAGGGAGACGGGGAGCAAAGCCTCTGAGGACGCCGGCAGCGGGACAGCCGCGGTGCGTCTGGGCTGTCCCACTGCCCGTGTGCTCCGTGGCTTTGCTCCGCGTCTCCCTGGTCTGCTGGGGGGGAGGGTGGGGGCGCAGACCACGCGTACTAGCTGAGCCGGTTGGTCCCGCAGTTTCAGCAGCGGCTGAATCTGGACGCCAGTTCCGACTTACATACAGATTCAATTTAAGAACAAACCTACAGTCCCTATCTTGTACATAACCCGGGGACTGCCTGTATAGTACTACTTTCAGGGTTGAGACCTAAATCCTCTTTTTGCTTACAAAAGAATGAAGAAAAAAATCTTTAAACTCTGGGATCAAAACAGGCCCTGGTCCTCCATGGTTAGTGAGGCCAGGGTACTGCCATAGCAATTCTTTGCAAGATTTAGGACCTAAAATAGGTGAGTTTATAAATCCCTTATAATGGTTTCTGGTAGGAAAGTTTAAAAAAACTGGGCATGTTCAGTCATGAGAAAAGAATGAACAGGGAACTGATAAGTCTTCAGCTATGTTAAAACTTGTTTATAAGCAGGATTATGATCAGTTGTTCTCCATGTCCATCAAGGTTTGGACAAGAAATAATGGGCTTTATCTATAGTAAAGAGAGATGTGAGTATGAAATCAACTAGTTTTAAATATTTTTAAGAATAGTGATGTCCTGGTGCACTTGATGACCTTTTGAGGTCCCTTGCATTTTTGTGATTCTGTGGATGGTCCCACTAAAAATGAACAGGATTACTTGGAGAGGAAGGTACTTGTCAATGTAAGGGTGCGGGGGGCGAGGGAGAGGTGCTCTTCCCATCCAGTGTGTGTTCTTTAGTTTCCTTCATGATATCATAATATGTTTTGCAAAATTTGTTTGTTTTTACTTTCAGTTTGATGTGTCTGAGGAGATTCTCATTTCAACATTTCCTGTGAAATAGTTTCCTTTATGAAAGGAGGAAAAAAATAGAAGTACAGATATTTGCAGTACTTGTTATTTCTAAGCATCTACTTCAAACAAGGGAATGGTAGAAACAACTACCTAGAGAAGAACTAGTTTGTTGTTGGGATTTGCCAAAAAGCAAAAAAGGGTCATACTTTTAAAAAGTGGGCTTTTTAACCAAACGCACTCAGAAACTAAGAAGAAACCTAATTGATGAGCAAATTGAAAGGCATTGCAGGCAGTAAAAATAAGGTAGTTTTGCTACTGAAATAATTTGTGTAAGAAAGTTTTTGATTTGGCAATGGACCTCTGAACAACACTAGTTCCCGTAAAGAAATATTTTAGATGTATGGTGTATGTTTTAGGAACATGCCCTTTATACAAATCCCAGACCACTGCTACAAGGCTCTTACCCTTCTCTTTCAGCACAATGCACTGCCCTATTAGGGATCAGAAGGAACCCTACTTGTCAGCACCATATCACTGAATCCTATAAAACAGGTATGGATAAGATCTGTTGGATCAATTAGCCCATCACCTGAC